TTAAAACAATAAAGTGAAGAACTTTTGCCCGAGGGATTTCTGTTCTTCATTTTTTTAAAATCGAAAAACAAGTCAAAAAATAAAACTAAAAATATACAGTTGTAAAGCGCACAAAAACCTACAACCCCATATTTGTATTTTATTTTTTTACCTATTATCCCAGGATTTAAAAATGTCGGGGTTTTCCGACCGCACTTGGCCGTGGGCGCCGTCCGCTGCAGTCGGGATGCCGATCGCGTGCGGTTAAATGGCCTGCGGTCACGACCGCGGGTGATACATAGCCCCTCTCTTCGTCCTCCTCATCCTACTACTCTCCCTCCCCCTCTCTCTCCCTCTCGTTCATTCGTTCGTTCGTTCATTGGTGTGTGTGTGTGTGTGTGTGTGTGTGTGTGTGTGTGTGTGTGTGTGTGAGAGAGAGAGAGAGAGAGAGGCATGGAAGAAGGGGAGGAACACTGACCTTCACGAACGAACTTCAAGGACGTCTAAGGCGGCGGGTCGCAGCAGACGACGAATGAACTCCAACACGGTGGACTGCAGCAGCGAGCGCGACCTCGACTGCAGCCCTGTTATTTTCGCGGTGGCATTTTTTTTTTTTTTTTTTTTTTTTTTAAGTTGGAGCTACTTAGGAAATTACTACAACAGGCTTCAAGAATCAGCAGGATTCAAAATTCGACTCGACCCCCCCCCCCCCATCAATCCTTTGTTCCTCGCTCCGGCAAGACTTATTGCAGCAGAGCCACCATCTCTACTGCTGCTATACCCTATTCCAATCCTACTAGCTAGCCCCCTAACCAGTAGGACGCATGATATCCCACCGTCTCCTTTTCCCACTCACCTCGTTTCTTTTGCAGAATAGACCGTCGGGGTCCTAAAATAAAATCCAAAAATCTCGACCTCCCTAACAAACATTTCTAGAGTTCCTCAAAGTTGTCTTACTCCTTGCCGAGCTCTTCCAGGCCTCCCACCCCCACTTCCTGCTGGGTTACAGGGCAACACAACTCGCCCCAACTCCGGCCAGCGTCATCCCAACAGCAAACCTTAATTGTCCCGTGAGATGCCCACCCCAAAGCATCCTCAAATCTCTCTACCAAGCCTCACGCTCCTGCGTGAACAGGTTACAGGGCAACACCCCAGCACCGACCAGCGTCGTTCTGGCATCGAACAGCCGCAGATCGCTGAGTATAACAACTTCAAAGCAGCCTGGGAAAAGTTGATAGAAGCCCCAGAATCCTAAACATTCTCAAGTCCCCTTTAACGACCAAATAGGATAAAATCCAAAAAAATAGGGGGTCAAAACTAGAAATTAATACCAACTATCCTAAAATCCCCCTCTCAACAAGCGGACCGTCGGTCCGACTTTCAGTCCTCGTACCAGAACTCACGTGGTCTCATACCCCCCTCTGCTAGGGTAACAGGGCACCACAACCCACCCCAGTACCGACAACCCTAGTTCTGACGGACAGGAAGTGCCTTCGTCGCTCGACAATTCCTTTAGCGGCAAACCCCTAAATAGGTTACAGGGTCCACACCCCGGTGCCAACTACGTTGGACGATCTGGTTATGCCTTCCACCCTCGGCATAACTCCATGGACCTCAAGCTCCCCCTGGGTCACAGAGCACAACTCCAGTACCGGTCTATGTCGTCCCAACACCATCCTCCTCACCTACTCACCTTAACCGGCATCTCCCGTTTGTTGAAAGTCCCCTTTCATTTTCTCCATCCACCCATTCTAGTTTCCCCCTAGGCAACCATCAACAGAAAAAACACCACCACAGTCATAGATCTTTTCATCGAAAAGCAGATCTGTATCGTCTTTTTGAGAAGTAAAATTTAAAGATGAGATCAATTAGTCATTTTGGACATCCAATTCAAAACAAAATTTCGAAAAGAAGAACTAAATAGGAAGTAGATTCTGATGTCCTCACAGACTTTCGACCCTGATTTCCAGAGCCCTAGTTCAAGAAATCGCTCAGACTATAAATCAAGTATTACTCAACAGAAAAAAACAATCGACAATCAATTAAGAGGGAAGGTCACTCGGACAGTAATTAGGAGATTCTAAACCGAAAACAAATCGACAATCAAGACAGTAAATGAGAAAGTAAAAAGTACAAACTACCGATCAAGATCTACTAAAAAATTTGCATCAAGAATGCGACATCTAAAATCAGAGACTGAGATTTTCATAAATAAAAACTGGAAACTTACAACGCGAATCAAAGTAATCCAGTTTAGTGGCTACAACAGAAACCATTATACCTCATATGATCAGCGAGAGGGTCTATCCAAAGAAAAACAAGCTCATCCTGAATATGCAATCAACAAAGTGAAGCAAATCGACCACAACGCCCTCGCACTCCAGATGTCCTTGTGACGAAACCGCAGCTGCCGCCGATGCCGCTTTGCCCTTCTTCAAAAAAACGCGGACTCGATATCGCCCCCAATCCTCCTCCCACTCCACGTGAGGACGGGCTCCTCCCTTTCAGCCTGCAACAGCCGACCTTCCTCCACAAAACTACGCAGGCAGAGGAGCAAAGGCAACCCATATGCCAAGAATCTCATGAAGACCCGCCCCCTTTCAAAGACAATCTTCCCTTCATCCAGCGTGCTGACCTGCAGCATCACTAGATGAAGCGTGAAGCTGGAGATGGCACAACTGTGCTTTCAAAAGGCAGGCCACACCTGGTCACGCCACGCCATCTCTACCCTCCCACTGTCAAGTCTCTCGCACGACAGCCCCCACCCACCCGCCGCGTCGCATGACTTTCCGTTGACTCCCGCGTCACGCCGCATCCGCTCCGATAGTGCTCGACCGGGGCACAGCGCTCCCTCGCGGTGGCATTCTCATCTACACGCAGTTTGAATTCGAAATCTTCACGGCCCCGTGCTGAAGGGCATCTCAGAAAGATGTAACCCCTGCAGGAGGGGAAATCAGACAGGCACCAGGGAAAAGGGACCGGCGATCCGGTAGGGTCATTCACTGACAGGGGCCTGCACGGAAGTTCAGAGGGGACGGGCAAATCAGGGTAAGTCGGCCGTCGGAGGGGCAGCTCGCAAATAAATGGAAATTTCTTGGAAATTTTGGAAATTTTCCCAGTGAAAAAGAAAGAAAAATAACATCGCTCTGGTGCATGTGGTGAGTAGTGGAGCTATGCCCAAATTCTGAAGTCAGGGCATTCTCACACTGGCACTTTCCAAAATGCCCCAATTTCAGCCATACAGGCCTGTATGCATCTGGGGGCAATTCCGTCCCGAAATAAGTAACAAGGTCCTAGTGTGAGTATGCCCTCAGACTCCCACTTTTTTATATTTCTGGAAGTATTTGTGATAAGAAACATCCACATCCGCCCATAAGTACGGTCCGTAAATCTTCCTCTGAGCACAATGGACCCTCATTTTAGCTGCACCGCGCCCAGCAAGCTAGCTTGTATACATTCGTTATCAGGGTGCTCTGTGTTCCAGGGAAGATGGTAGTGTGAGTACACCCAGAGAAGACTGAAGGGAAGGTTTTGGGCCTCGTTCCACGCCACTTGCTCATTGTTCCACCCCCCCCTTAGAGAGACCGGCTTTGTTTTCACTTTTCTGGGTCCCAAGGGTGCGCCCTTGAAACTCAAGGGTGACACAGCCCAAATTGTCCTTCAATTCAAGTCACCTCTCGGAGGTGACTTGAGTTCAAGAGCGCACCCTTTGGACAGCCGTAGAAACCGTTTTTTTTTTTTTTTTTTTTTTTTTT